CCGGGGTCAGCGGGGAGCCGTGGCTGTTGGGGTCCCAGCCTCGCCTCCTCCTGGGTAGGCGGAGAAAGGCCAGCGGGGGCGGAGGCCACGCCTCTCCTGCCAGAGAGGCTCTGGAGGCTGAGGCCGGAGGATCGCTAATTGGAGGCCAGTCTCAGCCAAAGCGAGGCTCTGAGCAACTCAGGGAGGCCCTGTCTCTAAATAAAATGCTTCATAGGGCTGGGGACGGGGCTCAGGGGTCAGTGCCCTGGGTCAGTTCCTGGTGTCCCCCCCCCCCAAAAAAAAGGGCCAGGATCAGTTTTGGGAATGGAAGAGGCCAGGCAGGAAGCGGGGCAGAGGGGCCCCTGCAGACGTAATGGGTGGTGACTTTCTCAGCGACAGCTATGGTCAAGGTGACATTTGGTCAGAGACCTGCAGGAGGAAGGATGCGGGCCTAGGGGACCAGATGGCACCCCTTAAGGCCACAGTGAGGACGTTGGCTTTTGCTCCGGGCGAGGTGGAGGTGGAAGTGGGGACCCAACAGCTGGGGGGCCTGGTGTTTTCGGGGTACCCCTGCCACCAAGGGGGTGGAGATGAGCCGGAGAGTGGTGGCTTGGGTTCCCCAGGGACTGGCCCGACCAGCCGTTCCCTCGCCCCGCCCCTCCTCTGGGTTTGAGCTTCCTCAGGATGGCAGAGTGGCTGCAGCAGCTCCAGCACTCATTCAGAGACTTTCCAGCAGAGGTTCAGAGGCGGCTCCAGGCCTTCCCTTGATGGGTCCATCTCTGTGCCCCTCCTACAGCCGGAGGATGCCGTGGTCTGACAGGGCGTGTCCTGGTCGCCTCGGGCCAGTCAGCAAATGGCCCTGGACTGGGCCTATGTGGTCCCTCCTCCTGAGTTCCCGAATGTCCGCCAGGCCCTCAGCGAGGAGAGGCCACCACTGTGTCCCCATGGGAGTCCCTGTCTCAGAGTCCTGAATTCTTTGGTACCAGGGACTGAACCCCGGGTGCTGAGTCCCCTGAGCCCGTCCCCAGCGCTTTCCAAATATTTTATTGAGAGGGTCTCCCTGAGTTGCTCAGGGCCTTGCCGAGGCTGGCCTCCACTTTCCATCCTCCTGCCTCGGCCTCCAGAGGGGGCGGGCTGTGGGCGTCCAGGGCCATCTTCAAGCTGCCTGTCACCCCGTGGTGCGGGCTCAGAGCCTGTTCCCGTGCGCCCTCCTGAGACCCACTTTGCCACCACCTGGGACCCGCTGGGGTGCTTCACTCAGCACCCAGACTGAAGGGCGCGCAGGGAGCCAGCATTTATTGAGTGCTTGCTGTTTGCCCTGGGATCTCAAGGCCACTGTTGGTGGGACGCGCCTCCCTGGGGCCCAGGTGGGGTCTGGGAGTGGCCGAGGTCTCTGTGCAGGTCCAGCCTGCGGTGGGCCAGCAGCTCTGGGGCTGTCCCTGGCTGTCCCTGGCCGGGGAGGGGGACAGGAAGTGGCCGAGGCGCTGGGCGGCCCGGGAGAGGCAGGGAGACGGCTGCGCTGTGCCAAGAGGCATTGATTCCGGGCCCAGGCACTGCGCTGGGGCCCGGCCAAGGGATGATGTCATGAAGGACAGACTCCGGGGGCGGCGGTGTCCCTGCGGATGACGTGATGGCCCAGACGTGAGGAATCTCTACCTGGAAGACGAGGCTCCCGGCTTCCTTCTCCCCGACACCCTCCCTCCCTGGCCCCAGCCACTGTGCTGTGTGACCTTGGGAAGCTTACTGCCCTTCTCTGGGCTCCCTGTGAGACGCCCCCAGACACCTTCTGTCCATCCCAACCCGAGGCTGTTGGTCTCTGGAGAGGGTCAGTCTGGCTGCTGGTAACTTGTCGGCAGCTCAAGTCCCAAGGGACAGGAGGGGAGCTGTCCTCCCAGGTTCCCCTGGGATTTCCCGCTCTGGAGGCTGGAGTATTCCATGGGGAGTTGGTGCCCAGGCTGTGTGGCTTCAAGCAGATTGCTTGACCTCTCTGGTGTCTAGTTTCCCACCAGGAGGCTTTGGAAGGGGCTGGACAGTGAGCAGTTCCTGGCTGCAGGCTGCAACTGTCCCCTATCCCGTGTCCTCTGCGGTTCCACTGGCCTGAGTCTGGGTCCCAGGTTAGGTGTGCTGTCCTGGCTGGGCTGGCTCGCTCTCCTGAGTCCCGGATTCCCCATCTGCTGAGGGGCGGTCACATCATAGGAGATGTGAACAGGAGTCCTAGGTGAGCGTCAGGGAGGGCGTGGCACCCGAGGACATGGTCCCTGTGGGCGCTGCCTTGCTGGCTACCTCGCCGTGCCCGAAATGTGCCCAAGGCTTTCCTGCCACAGGACCTTTGCACCTGCTTCTTTCTCTGCCTGGAATCTCCTTTTGCAAATAGAGTCTTTTTCCCCCCTCCAAACCTCAGCCTGTGTCTCCCAGGAGGTGTCTCCTGGCCACCCTAAGGTGAGTGCCTCTGTCCCCTCCTCTTCAGCATCCTATTGATGACCTCCTGGTCTTTCCACCACAGATTCCACCTGTGCCTCCGACCACTCAGCTGCTGGCCCCTCGTTACTCCACTGGCCTCCTGCACATGCTTGTCCATCCGTCTGTCCATCGATCCGTCCATCTGTCCACCCCCCAGCGCTGCCCGACCCCTGCCCTCAGCCAGGTCCAGGGTCACACAGACACCCTCTGGGTCCTCTCCACCCCGCAGGGCTGACCAATCCGGAGGCCATG